ATTTACCTTCTAAAATGTTAAATGAGCTACACTGGAGAAAATGGCCACTGGAGAGAGACATGACAGTTACAGTTTGAGGTGGAAAATAGAGTTGAATTTACTAGGAGAGTGGAGTAAAAGAGAAACTTGCCTACAGGCCCCATCTTTCAGATTTTGTAGGCTCTACACTCGGGGGCGGGAGGAACATAGGACTCAGGCTTGGCTAAAGAGAACAGCACCTCCTTCTAGCCATGGTGACAATGTCCAAGATGGCACTTGATCCAGTCAGAGCCAATGAGATGCCATCTGAACTGTGGAAATCCCATGGGAAAAATGGCAAGACCTTTCTCAGATTAAGTTAGAGCTTTAGCTGGCAGCCATTGTTCTGACCTATAGAGCGGGAGAAGCAAGCCAAACAGCTGGGAGAACCCAGTCATGAGAACATTGTTTAGGGCCTTAAATCCAGCTGGACATGAAGGTAGAATACTCCTGGAATATTTTGTTGTGTGAACCAACAATTCTGTTTGCTTAAACCAGTTTGATGCAGATTTTGTTGTTGTTACTACAACTTTCTTCTAAAAGAACCTTGAGTGGGCTGTGGTCCAAGGAGAATGGCAGCATAATTGTAGTGGAACGGCCCAAGACAGAGTTGAGTTATGGGCTGTTGTTCCAGCCATGACAAAGGAATTTGAATTGTGTGCATTTTTTAAAATATATTTTATTGATTTTTTACAGAGAGGAAGGGAGAGGGATAGAGAGTTAGAAACATCAATGAGAGAGAAACATCGATCGGCTGCCTCCTGCACACCCCCTACTGGGTATGTTCCTGCAACCAAGGTACATGCCCTTGACCGGAATGGAACCTGGGACCTTTCAGTCTGCAGGCCGACGCTCTATCCACTGAGCCAAACCAGTTAGGACAAATTGTGTGCATTTTTTAGCCTTGCTGTACCCCAATCTCCTGTTGTGCAGTAGTGGCTTTGATCCTCAGAAGTTAACTCAGTGCATCTTTCTATTAGTAGAGAGCAACTAATGTAAAAGCAAAAGGATGCAATCTTGGTGCATATTCAAGCTACAGAATTTTCTAAATCACAGGTTGGGATGAGTTGTCGACAGGATGTACCACTTGAAATTGGGACTTACAGCCATTCTACCCATACTCCAACCAGGTCAATGTGGTTATGGTGTTATCGTCATTCTCTGGGAGAGTGGGACTTTCCTGAATTATCATTATGAGCAGGCAGCATGTTGATAGATGAAATAACTAAAAATTTACTCTTTGGCTAGGGAATATTTTAGAAATAATTTCTACTTATAGGTATTTTATTGGCCTTCCTTAATATATGTTTCTTCCAGGACAGGGCCAGGACTAGAGTGAAGCAGGTGAGGCACCCAGGGTGTAAAATTTAAGGAGGCACTCACTCTTAGGTCACTCATTCACATGACCCCCAAGAGTGGGTGCCTCCTTAAATTTTGCACCCCAGGTTGGGAGCTTGTCTCATGCTCTGTCCAGCTGCAAAATGGCTAACTGATCATTATTCTTACTTATTTAGCCAGAGTGTTTTTATTCTTCGCTTTAAAAAAATTATAATAACCCAATCTATTGTTCCCCTGTGTAAAATCTAGTTTTGTTATGGAGCCAACAAGAGAATACATGTGCTGACTCCCTTCTATTTAAGACTACAACTTTATAGACTGAGATAAGCATAAAGAAAAAAAGTACAACTTATGACCAGAACATGGGCTACAAGTTTTTATAAAATAATTTTTCTAGGGCAAATGTAGAAGATGAGATGTAAAATAAGTTTTAAAGACCTTTGAGAAGATAACATTGACCAGGATTAGTGTAGGGTCTAATCTGCCACTTGGAATGATTTCTTATTGATTGTCTGTGAATCTGGACTGCAAGTTTAAAAAGTAGAATTATGGCAGGATCCCTATGACACAAGACAACTTGTCAACTTACCACAAGTTCATCATCACCCACTGAGGGCGCTTTTAGGCTTAAGTGTTCGCATTATAAACATTTGGATACTCTGGTATAAAAACCATCTTGGGCCCTGGCCAATATGGCTCAGTTGGTTTGTGTTGTCCTGTGCACTGAAGGGTTGCTGATTTGATTCCTGGTCAAAGACCTAAATTTGAGACCTGAAACAAAGAATTACGTAGAGAAAAAAATACAGGTAGCAAATTATGGATCTTGGTCTTAGAGAGGATTTTATGAATTTGTCTCCAAAGGCAAGGGAAGTAAAGGCAAAAATAAATCAATGGGACTATATCAGTGGTCAGCAAACTGCAGCTCGCGAGCCACAAGCGGCTCTGTGGCCCCTTAAGTGTGGCTCTTCCACAAAATACCGACTTCTGTGCATGGGCCACGAAATTTCAATCGCACTATACATGCGCACCCGCATGCGGTATTTTGTGGAAGAGCCACACTCAAGGGGCCAAAGAGCCGCATGTGGTTCGTGAGCCACAGTTTGCTGATCACTGGACTACATCAAACTAAAAAGCTGCACAGCAAAAGAAACTGGCAGCAAAACAATAAAATAACCAACCAAATGGAAGATTATATTTGCAAACAACAGCTCCGAAAAGGGATTAGTATCCAAAATATATTAAAACTCATACAACTCAACACTAAACAGACAGTCCAATTAAAAAATGGTCAGAGTACTTGAACAGCCACCTCTCTCCAGAAGACATACAAATGGCCAACAGCTATATGAGAA